TAGTTGCTATATTGTGGCAGTATGGGACTGCAAATTTCAAGGCACCACATACCTTGGAACATTGGAAGATGGTTGGTCACTCGCTAGCCACATATGATATTGTTTTATCTCAATTTTCCAAAACTGTATTTCTGTTGACAAGAGCAGCTTGTTCTTATGTGTTTTTTCTTTAACTTTAAAACAAATACTCAAATCATAGCCAAATTATGAATTGACCCTATTTTCTTAACCAAAGTAAAGATGGTTCAATGACAGTTGGTTGTCTTTCTTAGAAACTGTGAACGTTTAAAAATTTAAAGCACCAAGGAAAAAACATTTTTTAGCATTATTTACTTTTTGTTGTAAGTTTCTAATGTCATATTCATAACTAAAGATTCAGGTGTCTGTGTCCTATTTGTCCCATAAGACTTAATTGTTGCATCTGTACTTGTAGTTTTTTTCTTTCGTTTGCTTTTGCTCTTTCTTTACTTCTGCTAGACTTCATATTAAGGCAGTTTGGCGTTCTTCCGCTGTTTTGCTGATGGTAGTTACAATTATATCCTGCTCAAATAGAAAAATGAAACCTCTTTAGCTGCCTAGATGGCTTGCAACTGTTTTTAAAGCTGAGTCATGGTTTTTAGCAGCACAGTTGAGACTTTCTCTGTTTTACTCGGTATAAGAAGTCAGCCATTACATTATAGTAGATTATAAACATTCAATTTGAATTTTTAGCATTTATGGTTAAAACATAAGATTTGGAAGTATTGTGTTTTGGTTTTTAATACATAGTAAAAGCATATGCTTTTATGTCTGTGTGACAGCATTTGTAATTTCAGTATCTGATGTGCTATATACAGTAATTTGGGCCTCTGTGGTTATGTAGGTGCTATGTGAGTAAACCTGAATTGGACTGGATTGGATTGGATTGGATTAATTCTAGCATGGAGTAAATTTAGGCTCATCTATACAATTACTGTCATCCCACGACCCTATAATTAAAAAGAAGTTCTCGATTGGCAAGAAATAAAGCTCTCAATTTACCAGTCTATGTTCCAACTTTCTTCTATTCCTCTTATTAATCATCTAAATTGCTATTTATCTAATATTATTAATTATATTTATTTTACTTCAGTGAATTAATATTCAGTGAAAATAGTAAGATTTTAATGTGTAACACAAAAAAATGACACATTATACCACTGATAACAAGTCTGTCTGACAATTCTGATTCACTAGTCTTTACAAAAATATCATTTATACTGTATTTATTTTCTTTTGGTGCTAATATTTGGGAAAGTCCCCTTGGTCTACTTAGTTTCAACAACAAAGTTATTAAACTTGATCTAGTAACATTTTAAAAGTAACTCAGATTACCCTTATTGTCTTTGTATATCATACAATAAAAGTCAAAAGCATAATTATAAAGCAGGTCACTTTAAAAGACAATACGTCTGAATTGAAAATATATAGTAATAAATGAAAAAGAAAATAGTCCAACTTCACCCACAAACTCTCTCACCCACTCACACACATTAACATAGAGTCCACATAAACATATGTACTCGTAAAAAGAAAAAAAAAAAAGAATGTAGTTCATTGAAAGTGTTTGGGTTATAACAGACTAATGTCTGTTAAAGGTGTTTACGGTGTATATATATATATCAGTGATCACTGGGTTCTGATCTACCTCCTGCCAGATGTCACCAACTGAAAGAGATGGTGAGAAGGATGAAATGAGTCCTTGGTTATATTTGCAGCTCTCTGTAGGCAGGAGGATGTGTAAATATCCTCTAGTGTTTGGCTGATTTCATCATCATCTGAAGGGCCTTTTTTTCCAGCTACTGAACTGCTACTGTACCAGAGTAAGATGCCATGTTTCAGGACACCTTCAGTGGTACGGTGGTGAGAAGACAGAAACTCACGTGATAGATCAGGGTTTCTAATTGATCTTGGAAAATAGAATCACTGCTACAATTCTTTTACAGAACAGTTTATATTCTGAGTCTGTTCTAAGTGCATGGATAAGTGTTTGTCAAGGTCTTAGTAGTGTTTCCCCCTCTCCACCACTTTACTGTTGACTTCATGGTGTTACTCTCTCCCCCAGAAATCAAGCTCTTTTGTTTCCCTAGCGTTTAGGACTAGGTCATTGAGTCTGCTCCTTGAAGTCAGCTCCTAAACCTCCTCTCTGTGGGGTCTCCTCCCCACCATTGATCAACCCCACCACCATTGTATCATCAGAACATTTAATCTCTGGGTTGTGGGATGGTATACACCCCTACACGTAGAGTGACAACAGAAAGGGGGTCAGGACTCTCCCCTCCACCCTACAGAGACCCAGTGCTGACAGAGAGTAACCGCCCCATGTACATAAGCAACTATTATGAAGGCTGAGGTCTGACATTTTCTATAAACAGTTTGCCAGAACAATGATCTTTATCCTTTGCAATCATCACAAGCTCTCCTTTTTATTTGTCTAACAAACTCATTCAGGGGCTGGACTAAAGTTATTTAACATAAAAGTTGAACAGCTCAGTCCTAGGGTAACAAAATTCTTTCCACAGAAAGAAATGGAAGTTAAATGTTGCTTAGTTGTATGTCTTGACCCAACCTTACCAGTAGGGTGCAAAGCTTCTGTGAAAGATTTTGAACAGAACTACTAGCCACATCAAAGGGATCAGCTCAGGTGTTCCAAAGAACTCATTTTGGAAGCATGTTGTTCATATCCTACAGGGAACGCGAACTCCATGCAGAATCAACTTTAGCTGAATGAATTTGAGAGGAAGAGGGGTGTGTGGGTTTTCCTCTTTGGAAATGTTATTCCTTTGACCCAATGTGGAAAAAATATGTCCTCTAGAAGATGTAAAGCAAAACTGTGGGTTACTGCAAATTTAGATGATAAAAAAAAATATTCTGAAATTTCAGAAGGCAAACATTTTTTGTTTGCATGGTTTCATTGTCTGTTTGCACAAGTGTGACTGTTGGTGTGCACACAAACAAAGGAGGAAGTGTAAGATTAGGCTGTTAACAATCTTCCTCTTTTCAGATTTTTTTTTGTGTGTGACAATTTAAGGATAAATAATCTAGAATCTTTGCTTTAGGTAGTCTGTTCAAAGTTAGAATCTACTGAACATGGCAAAATGACTGAAGAAAAAGGCAAACAGGAAGAAGAGATGTGTGCAAAAATTAAGGAGGGAGAGCATTAGAGAAGAAGAGGTAGCAGAGGGTGCAGAGGGAGGGAGGGAGGGAGGTGTGCAACAATTTCCTGTAGTTGCATGCTGATCTGAGTCTTTCAACCTTCCTCTCTAAGCTTGCTTGTCACATAGAGGAGCACAGACGAAGCTGAGCGGAACAGGATGCAGGCGATCAAATGTGTGGTCGTAGGAGATGGGTACGCCATTATTTTCCTTCACTTTTCTGGTCTTAACTAAAACTGCCTACTACTTTTATTAACCAGAGTTTAGATCGGTTAATGGGGATGATTGTCCCTTGAGCTTAGAGTTTAGAACTCCAGAAAGAAACCTCAAATACTTTGTTAGAGTTTAATGACTTGAAGATGTTTTAAGTCAGTAACTTGAAGAAAATATGTCCCGCATTAAAACTGGAGGCATAGAGGTGTGTTTGATGGAAAAGATTTTCTGAGGGTGCTCAATGAGCTCTGCAGGTCACAGCATGCAGGAAAATGCTGTGAAGAATCAAACTAAGAGTACACCCCCCTCCTTGACTTTTTTTAAGATAGAGGTTGACAGTTTCCATCAAACAGCTGTTCATGAAACAGAGATTACACAAAACATAGAATATTGTGATTTCTGTTTGTTTTGGCTGATATTCTCCTTATATTAGAAGCCTGTAGCTTGTGTCATCCTCCACATAAAAAAAATAACTTCTTCATGTTTGTCCCACTTATTCATCAGTTGTAACTTATTCAATTTTTTTTAGATAATATATTGAAGTTCAAATTACTATTCTTGCACTCGTAATAATAAAGCAGTTAACTAATCAGTGGTTTTACCCAGGTGGTGTGTCTACATTTCCTTATGCACTAAGCTTCCTGTACATCTTCGTGTTAGAAATGTCAAAATGCAGAAACAGGGGAAGTAAGCATCAGCACATGAAGAACTTTGCTTGTTTGACAGTATGTTAAATGTTAAATGATTCTACGCCCCAAAAACTGGAAGATTGGATTGAGTGATAATCCAAATGAGACAGAAACAGGCAGAAAAATAGCTAAAAAATTTTCTCAGATTGAGTTTTATGCTTATTTCATTTTTTGTATGGGTTTGGGGTGGAGCGACAAAAAAAACACAACCAAAATACTATATTTAGATTATTTAAAATTATTACTTTAGAGGACCTTTAAAAATCTATTTAAAAAAAGTATAGCTAAGTGTAAAATTCTTATTAATCATGCAATGTCTCCACAATCTCTTCATGCAGCATCAGATTCTGCTATGACTAGGGTGCCATTGATTCAACATCAGGTTGAGCTTGCCTTTGTAAGGTGGGCCATAAGGAAAGTATTCTAAAATAGTGGAGCAGCTGGGCTTTTTGTGAACACGTGTTTGTTGGTCTATCATTGCACTTGGTAGAAGAGGAAGTCTGTGTTAGACTGTAAGGAAGTTTGCTTTTTGAATCTCTATGTAACCTTCAACCGTTTTATGAATTTACAATCATAGAGTACTAAAAAAACGATTTAACTCCTCAAAGTATAAAAATACACTTTAAAGTTTAACTACTCAAAGTAGTCAACTTTACCCTCTAAAACTTGAAATTATAAAAATGGTTTTGAAAATTAAAAAGTCCAAAATCTTAATTAAATCATGTCCAAACCATTTTCTAAATCTGTCATCAGGGTCCTTAATTAATGTCAATTAATAACCTTTAGAAAGATTTATTAAAAACAATAGCAGCTATACCGGGGTGAACCTTACAGCTAATACAACCTATACTGAAGGCACTAGAGCATTTATCAACAATAATTCAGAGAAGACATGTCATATCCAGTAGGGGAAAAGAGCAAATGATGTTTACATGTGTAGAAGTGCAAATTTTTGCAGCCCATTCACTTCTTAGCTCTATCCATACAGTGTTGCCAATAGGACAACACTCTACATTATTTATATCATACATTTTTTAGACGTTAACTGTGTTAAAATCATTTTACTAAGTTACACTGTAAGACAGTTTAGTGTCCGGCATAAATTGAAGTAATTTAACATTTTGTGTAACAGTAAATACAAAGGGTTAGTGGCTTGGTTGGCTGTGTGTGTTACTTAGCATAGTTATTTGCAAATGTTTGGACTTGCATATAGATTTCAAGCTGTGATCCATATAGATGTAAGATGTAAGATGTTAAGATTCAACAAAGCAAATCGGAATAACTTTTCATTCATGTAATTGTTTATTTTCAGACATATTAAACGATTTTTCAGGTCAGTATTTAGGAGTTGATCTACTGTATGCTGCATACGGGCTGCTCTTCTCAAAGACTCAGTATGTAAATTGAGAGGGTTGGATCTGTCACTGAATGAGTGAAGTGATTCATAGGACCACTTTATGGTAGTCTGAGTCCCCCTTCAGCGAGAGCTAGCAAAACTAACTGTTGTTGTTAGGCAACAACGCAAATATGGCATCTACCTGATCAGACCAATTTGTGGTTGGTTATGAAGAATTTAATCTACAAAAAAAAAGTAACTCTATCACTTTTCAACTGGCTGTTCTAAAGAGGTCTCCTATCAGATGGGATAATACGGGACAGTGCAAAGTTGCCAGTTGCTTTCAGGAGCGCTAAAAGCAATTGGCACCTATGAACTAAAGGTTAAAGGTCTATATGGTCTATAAGTTACCCAGTATTGCTTTAAAATGTTAGGACCTCACAGTATGCCAACACAAAAAAATGATTGTTGACAATAGACCAAATAAGATATGGAGGGAAAATTCACTGAGATTTACTTTGTAAAGCACCAAAATAATGTATCTTAGTTCACATGTATTTATTTTTTCTAAAAATGTCAACCTAGTTTGCATTCTATCTTTTTTTCACCTGCTGTTTTGAAAAAGGAAATAAAATGATGATGATGATGATGATGATGATGATGATGATGATGATGATGATGATGATGATGATACAAGAAGGAAAATTGTGTTTTAGTGTTTCTTTATGGCATCAAACCGCAGGTTTCAACGTAAATGTAATTTATTCAAATAAAATTCTAAAAAATGTATATCACTATTTTTTTTTAACAGTGTCCTGTCTGGCAATGTGACAATAAGAATAATTGTCTTGATGCCAAAAAGAGCCCAACAGATTTTGCTTCCACAAGTACTGTATGGCAGTACAGCTATCGCCATAGTGTTCCGCTTGATTCATGCATATATATAGCTTTATTATAATTTATGCAGGGAGTATTACAAATTATATGGACACTGCAATGTAAGTAGAACAGGAAAGGAAAAGAAAAGGAGAAAAGATAAAAGAAAAAGAAAATAAAAGGGATACAATGATAAAACATCTTCAGTCTGCTTCATCACCTGCAAAGAGATGTAAAAAGAACAGCACAACCAACAGATATCACTATCACTGACGTATTTACTGTTTTTTTTATTCTTAACAATCATCAGACCATCTTGGTGTAAAAGGCCAGTGATTTATGTTTTGCTGACAAGCACTGTCAACAAGATCTTATATAATATATAATTGTGGACTGATTTTAATCATGAAATGGGGCCAGCAGTGCTTCTATCATGTTGGGCTTTCCAAACATCAGCAGGCCAAGGTGAGGGAATCTTCGTAAGAGGATACGTATCCCCATAGCAGAACATTAGATTAATCCATGTTGTTATCACATTATTGCTGCTATGGTTGAGTAGCCCTTGGAAGAAGTTAATTGTTGAACCCTGGCTTAACTGGACATGAAATCAAACTATTATCAGACATAGCTCTATTAAGGAGCTACTTAAAAATGCCTGGAAATAAAATTGTAAAATGACCAGAGTGGCAAACTGCCAATTTAATTTCTGTTCTGTAATATTAATCATTTTATTTCAAACAACTCTATATCTATGAGTCACTGTGGCAAACAAAAAAAAAGAACAAAACAGTTTTTGCTAAATTGGCTAAGTTTTCCTGTTTCCTGTTGGTGAAACTCAATTTTTTTTAGACCAAAAAGGTAAAAAAAGAAAACAAAAAAGACTTGTAGAATTTGTAAAACTCAGAATGAAGTTAAGACATAGAAGGAGAGAAAAAAAGAAAAATCCTAATACAAGACTTAATTTTGTTTATGAAGTTATTTTGCTTTAAATTTAGGTTTGTTTTAGTTAAGTCTATTCGGAAAATGGCCGGTTCCTGTTTTTAGCTTAAACCGATGCTTCTGAAATAGATCACTTCCTTGTTGTCCTTTTTGACACTCATACAGTACACACTCGCCACAAATCAAACACATGCATAAGCTCCTCTGTAAAATAACACCATTTATCATCTAAAATCTTTAGGGTTAACCTTCCTGTTAAACATTTGACTATAATATTAGACATTTATTTACATGTTTTTGTTGTTTAGTTAGATTTTACTTCCATATCTTGCTTCCTACATCAGGCAGCAGGTTGAAGGTGCCACTGGCCCAGAAAAACATTCATAAGAGATTTATTTTTTTTTTTCATTTGTTCTATCTACTTATAGCTATTCAAGATTAGAACTGTATTTTTTTTTTAACAGTTTTTAGCAGTTATTCTAAATACTCTCCATTATTAAAATTATTATAATTTTGGAAGGTTTAGCTGTTTGACAGAAATAAGATGAAGTTACAGAAAAAAGTAATAGAGAAATTAGGAAACCTAAACCAGGCAGAAAGGGGGAAAGAACAATTATAACTGCACCATATAACAAATTAATCATATATTCTGTGCATAGAAGTTCACCTTTTATACCAAGGATATATTCCAGTGTTTGTAATGTATGATTAATACCTTGGCAATATTTCAGAGTAAGATTTAAACACTATTTAATTATGTCTGTGATGCTTTTAGAATGAGCACAAACATATAATCTAGTGTGTTGTTGTGAATTTTTATTTTGTTTTTGAAAAGCGTGACTATAACTCTAAATAATATCTATGAAATGTTTATTTTTGTATATATTTAGAGCTATATCTGTATTTTTCCATAAGTCTGACTGTGTGATGTTTTTCATTAAAACAAGTTCTTAGGATCTGATTGTGACATCAGAAACAAAAAAAGTAGAAAAAAAAGGACTGTCAGAAATAAAAGCATTTTGTTTTAAAAGTTTTTGTCTGGAAAATAGTTGCAGACACTCTGTGGTGAGCTGACATGTCCGTTTGAAGCCTTGTATTACAAGAGACGTATTAAAAAAAAAAAAGTAGAAAATAACATTTTCAGAACAGAACAATGTCAAGAAAAGTACTATTGGGTGCCTCTATTCAAAGAAAATATCTTCTCAGAAATTCCTTACAGTTTGTGACTAAAGGAGGACTTCATCTATTCGATATATGATTTTTTATTTTTTTTTGTGAAACAGGGATGTGTTGTTGTTAAACACTAAGAGCAAATTCCTTGAACCAAATTAGAACCGAGCAAGTCGGAACAAGTTGAATCGTGCAGTTCTGCAGTTTCGTCAAGGCGTTTGTTGAAGCAGCTCCTGTAATTCTGTCTTGTTTTGTAGCCTGCAGTGCTGTTTTTTTTTTTGTTTTTTTTTTTGTTCTGTTTACAATGAAATTGTTCTATTCTTAACCCTAAACCAAGACACAGTGTGAAAGCAACTTTTCCACTCAGTATAGCCAACATTAGTGCATGCATTTTTTTCATATATACTGGTTGATAATATATGAAACTGTTGCACAATCATAAATGACCAAGCTGCTAACATTTTGAAGACGCAGGGGTTTAGACAGCTCTGAAAATAAGTAGATCATACATCAGTAACTAATTTCAGCCATTATATTTACCACATTGTTTCCTGTTCATGCAAGATAGAAGAGTGTGTTATTTTTGTTGTATTGTTGCCTTTATTTCAGCACACTGTATAAGGAGAGTTTATACTGTGCTGATTTGGTACATAGCAGTTAATAAATCAATATATTGTATAAAATAAAACACATTGACAATCTCTGTGTGTTTTTTCTCTTCCTTTCAGAGCTGTGGGTAAAACATGTCTTCTCATCAGCTATACAACCAATGCCTTCCCTGGGGAATACATTCCCACTGTGTGAGTATAACACAAACATACACACTCACATATTTTCTGCAGTTAGATCTCTAATGCTACAGAAAAACACCATCATATATGGACGTTTATCTGCAACAACGCTGACACCACATTAAATTCCAAATGCTTTGAATTTTGTTGTCTTTGTTATAATAGCAGCTGTAGATGTCTGGCAGTGGTAACAGGAACAGGTTTGGGCTAGCAGCAACACTCAGGTGGGGAATATAGTATTCTTGTGAAGCTGAAGTGTCGTCAAACCTTGTGTGCAAGAGGAAGAGATTTTCACTCACATTTCCGTTCTACGTGTCACTGCTCCACTGACCCAAAAACACAACAGGGTTCTACAATAGAGGCATTACACTTTAGAGGGAAATATTACAATCTTTGGTTTTCTGCTTATACAGTAAATGGTATCTGAACTTGTAATTCAAGTTCTAGGACCCCAAAGCATTTCACACTACATTCAGTCTTTCCCTCATTTACACAGTGATGGTAGTATGCTATGTTTTAGCCAAAGCTGCCCCGAAGCAAACTGACAGAAGCAAATCTGCTATACAGTTGGCACCACTATGCCCTCTGACCGGCAAAGCTGGCAAGCCAGGTGAAGTGCCTTGCTTAAGGACACAGTGACTGAGATGGAAAGAGAAGAGGTCAAAGTAACCGAGCAGCTACAGGATGAACTACTACCTCCTGAGCTACTGTCGCCCATTGCCAGATGTTTCAATCAAAGAAAAATGATTAAATAACATAAAATTCAATAAGATTTCACATTTAAATATATCTATTTAGTATAATATTATGCTTTCAAATAAAAGCAGTTATTTATTCAGGAAATGCATTTTTCCCCAGCAGAAGCAGGGTGAGCAATGGTAATAAAATCAGTACGGAAGATTATTTACCATCAAATAAACATTTTTATTTTCAGTTTTACTCCAGTGAAACATGTTAAACTTTGCAAGTTAGATAAACCAATGACTATTTTAATCTTGCAAAGACAGTGTGACAAAATCAGCATACAAATTCAGTTCTAGATGTGTGCAATGAGTAATCATATTGCGGACGGATGGGTCTCACTGCACAATGCAAACGGAAAACTTGTGTTGCTATCAACTCTGACAGCGATACAGAGGCATGCTACTACAGCAACAGGAAGCCGCCATTTTTACACTGCATATGAGAAGTGTGAACCAGAAGATGATTATTTTATTTCCAAACTTTAGGCAATTCAGAGTTTTATTTTTTTTTTTTTTTTTCCTTGGTTTTTTTAACATAGATGTCAACTTATAGGTGTTTTAAAACCGTTCCTTATTTATTTGAGCTATACATACTTATTTTACTTGGTCTATATTTTCACCAATAAAGTTCCGTCAAACACAAAAAGTTAAGACCAGAAGTGTGAAAGGGAAACCTACAATGGCCGAAAATCCCTTCTCCTTAAGGGCTAACCCTAATCCTCACATTGGTGGATGAGAAACCTAAACCTAATGTCGATAGATTTAACTAATTTATTAACTTCCTGTTTGGATCCATGTTGATTTTGGGGCCCACATCTGGTGTGCACAATCAGTTGTAAAAATGGCATTGCCCTGCACCTGCAGCATGGTGCTCTTAGTCATTCCTGTATTGATGGGAACGGCAGTTCTTTAGAGAACTATTGTCAGAATCAGTTCATTTAAGTCATTCGTTTTAAAGATTTGTTCAATATTTTCTTTTCTTTTCTTTTATTTTCTTTTTTCTTTTCATTTAGAATAAGCAGCAAATAGGGCTTTGGTCACATTAAGTGTGCTATTCATTGACCTTTAACTGCATTTTCTGTTCTTTACAGTAAAAAAAAAGGTATTAAAGATCAGACCAACTTTTCCTGTTCTCCATAAGTTTTGTCAACCAGAAGTGATTCAACAATACAATTCTAAATATCTATTATTTCAAAAAAAAAAAAAGAAATAGAAAAGATCTATTTCTAGGTAACATTGGCAAAAAAAAAAAAAAAAAATTCATTAATCATGGTACCTCTTATCTATCCTATTGAGTTCATTGGTTTAGTATGTGAATATGTGACACAGCACCACTTTCAGTATACAAATGATTCGCATACTCAGAGTCTTTATCACATGAATCATGAACTGAATCTTGCAGAACACGAGTGAGTGACTCAGTGACACTTCCACTGCAGAACTTGTTGGTGAATCAACCCTTAGCAGCACTTTTCTGTGGGCCTGATCTTCAAAAGGTTTGAGAGTCTAAAAACACATTAAGACTCGATAACGTGTGCAAAGTAGATATTGGTGGAGAGATAGTCTCTGCACATGTTAACATATTTAGTGTGTCAGAAATGACAATAATACGATTGTATTAATAGGAAAAAAGACACCTGCAAGGGATAGATTATGAAAAACACAATGGTTTAACTTATATACTGTGGCATGTTTATAAAAAACAGGGAAATTAGAGGACGAGTAATATGCATAATTTTCCCTATGCACGCTGCGCCTGGAAGTGTGCATCCCTGACATGAGAAAATAAAAAAATAATCCTTCCTCCATGTTTCCTTTTCAGACTCTTTATAAAGCATGTTGTATTAATTCAGTCTCCCTTTACCTTAGTTTGCAATATTCTGGGCCAAGAGGTTGTTGATGGTGGATGTAATGTTTTAGAGCTTAATCCCACTCTAAGTCTGACCATGGCTCCTTTTCGAAAAAGCTGCCAGTTAGAGACAGAGACGATTCTCTGCCACATAGCACTTTAAGTTGGGTTTCATAAAGTATTATTCGATAAATTCATAATTATTTTTATTGTTCACTTAATAAATGTATTGTTTTCAATCTTTTTGGTCTTTTCATTAATCCCGCCACCGCCATTGTTAAGAACTTTAACTGCCTTTCTTGGCCACTTCCAAACTGCCAGTATCACACACAATGTCTTCATTTGAATTGGCACATGCATCATGCACACAATCATTTAGATCATTCACAACGTACCAACTTATTGCACTTTCACAGGCAATTTAGGACTCCTTGTTTAGACACTTTAAAGATCAGTGTTTTGCAGTGGAAATTATTAATGTGCAGATTTATGCGGTACAGGAGTAAAGGATTTTTGTAACAGTGGTATCATTCCAGTATGGTAGGAATACTAGTTGGTGAATTACTCCTCAGAGAGAATACTCTGTGTATCCAGTAGGTAAGTGAATCTTGACTCAGTTTAGGTGCAAAAGAATCATATCCAGATTTGTTTAATATATGAATGAAATTAATAAATCATTCCTCAGCAACAATACTCTGTACATGTAGAAGATTGGCTAAATAAAACGTGTTACTCTAAGTTAACTTTTGAGCAATTAGCTTGGAGTAACAGAGTGAGAAAGACCCATTCTTGACCAGCACACTGTGCTTCACCTTAAATTTTGAATATGGAAGCCAATGTGAAGCTTAATGTTTGAAATTCACCAAAAAAAAAAAAAAAAAAAAGCATCACTTTGACCCTGGAATAAAAAAGAGCTAGTTGTCATATCTGTAGTTTTAAGTCTGTTTTGGTAACATTACAAGCAACACATTTCAGCAAAATAGATTTGAAACATTTTGGGTAAAGCTTTGTTTTGCAACAATAGCAGCCCTATGGTTTTGATCTGAGGCTGCATATTATTAAGTGTCACACTGGCTCAAAGAGGAGGCTGCAGTGCTTCAGCTTTGCCACTAAGAGGCAGTGTTGCTTGAAAACCCAGTAACTAACACCACTAAATAAAGAATAACAAAAAATATATATATAAATTTTTTATTTTTGTTTTGTTTATTATGTTCTTGATGGTTGTGTTCTATTATGCTATAAATATTTCTTAAATGTTTTCTCTGAATAATGAATTCTTTTCTTTTGGACACAAACCCTATCCTTTCTTAGATTAGATCATTTTTCTTAAAATTATATTGGGAACCAATGTCTTTGGCAACTATATATCAACTAACTGATGGTTTTAATGACTGCTCAAAAGGACTGAATTACTGGTCCTCTGACTGATGACTGACCTTCTGTGTTTTTGACAGCTTTGACAATTACTCGGCTAATGTCATGGTGGACAGCAAGCCAGTAAACTTGGGCCTCTGGGATACAGCAGGACAGGAAGATTACGACAGGCTTCGCCCGCTGTCATACCCCCAGACGGTATGCAGTCATTTCCACATGGCCAAGTGCACATGCCAGGCATTTCATTACAAAACTAAATCTATTCTGTCTCCAGCTGTGGAGAGTATTGGAATTTAAATTGTAGCTGTCAAATAATAACAAACTTCAGTCTAAAAAAAAATTACATTCTCATCGATCGAAGCAACAGGGAAGGAAATAAAGAAAAATGTTCTTCAGAATGACGCAGACAGTTAAAGGAACTGAACTATCTAGCATGGAAAATATCATTATCAAATACTAAAGATGCTAAGGAACTGCAGAAACCAGTATTTAAGATGGAATGGATATATTACCAGATCAATATTTAATTACATGCAAAACTGCAATATGCACTTTAGATTGAATAAAATTTAGTTGGTGAAGGTATAAAATAATAAATATGAATGAATAAATATCCTGTCTACTACATAATATATGCCTTATCTTTTGTTGTTGTTTTTATATCTAGGATGTCTTCCTTATCTGTTTTTCGCTGGTGAGCCCAGCATCCTATGAGAACGTCAGAGCAAAGGTGAGTTTCAGTTCTGATGCGGACCTATGAAAAGCTTTGTGGAACTCAGTGATTCTTAATTTGCTTAATAACCATCATTAATAACAACACCTGAGAATGCTTCAGAAAAAAAAAAAAACGCAATAAAAGAAATAAAATGGTGAAATAGTAGATAATAATGGAGACCTTTTGGATTTTTAACCACAAGCCAAAAAAACTCCCAGGTCTCAACCAAGATTTTTTTTATGACTTCTTCATTTTTGTTGTTGTTGTTTTACTTTATAACTTCCTTTAATTTACAGGTGTGACCACATAAGAATAGAATAGAATAGAAAATCCCTCTTTTGTCCCACAATGGGGTAATTTTGGTTTTTAAAACAGAAAAAAGATCATAGAAAAAATGGTCACACAAATGTGGACCTTAGAAAAATCTGTAAGAATAAAAATAGTGAAGAGTTAAAAGATAAAAAAAAAAATGTACATACTGTACTGTAAAGTGTTTTAACAATATAAAACTGCACATGGAGAAAAAAAATACAGCTATGGATATTTTTACAGTAATTAATATTTGAAAATAGCAGCAACATCTTTGATGTGCAAAATAGCAGCAGCAGGTTTTTTAACTGACGAAGGTAGAAACGGTAAAATCAGCATGAATGTACGTTTAGTGTGTCTAAGCATAAGATGCCTTCTGCAGTTTTTTTAATAAGACATTCAAGTGTTAAATGATTAGGGGTGAATTCATGTTGATTGAGAATTTGCTTCAATGGGTTATACTATAGAATGTCTCTTTAAAGGGATTTCTAATTTGTTTGCCTCCCTGAGGAAGATTTTTAAATGAAATTAAATTGATAAAGAGCTTTTAGTTTCCTTATATTTACAATGTATTTTTACCCTATACATATTCAAAAGTAAATATTAAGGTTTCACACTAATATTTCTAAAACTACTCAGTAAAAAACATAAAATCAGGAAGAAAAATGTTTCAAAACAAATAAAACCTCCTGAAAAAATTTTTATCTAAATTAACAGTGATAAGCAGTAATGCAAAGATAAATTAAATCAGGGCAGCTCACTTATTTAATTTGTCATTATCGCATATCTTTATATGAAAAATATTTAATTCATTCACAGATAATTATGCAGCATTCTACACTGGATGCCTATTGCAATAGCAACCAATTCACAATAGTATATTATTCAAAGAAATAACATCTTTTAAAATGAGTTTTACTTTGTTAAATGGTCCTAAAGAAGGTGACAAAAAATCTGCGAAAGGTAGCATCAGAATGATTCATTTGATGATTCCCATCATTTCTGCATGTGAATTAAATAGCTTTGATGCACGCCAACAGCTACTTAATTAAGATGGTTGCATTTGTCAGTCAAATGCCACGTCAATCACAGGCTAATGGACAGGAAAAGAGACTGAGGATAAAGAATGAAGAAAGTATGAAAGTGAAGGGAAGACTGAGTAAGAAAAATGGATTAAACAGGAAACGCAGTGATAAAGAGCTGAAGCACAAAAGCTGTAATTTTGGAAGTAAAAGTCCGTTTTCATGTAAAGCCAATCTTGCATCAAGTTTGATTCACGTTTTTGTGAATGTTCCTTCATCTGTGTATCATGAACAAATAGTGTGCAGATTTTCCTTAAACCATTCTCTTGGTTGTCAGTGGTACCCAGAGGTTCGTCATCACTGCCCATCCACTCCCATCATTCTGGTGGGCACCAAGCTGGATCTGAGAGATGAGAAGGACACCATTGAGAAGCTGAAGGAAAAGAAGCTGGCACCCATCACTTATCCACAGGGTCTGGCTCTGGCTAAAGAGATAGGTCAGTTACACTAGTGATGCTTTCTTCAGGTTTTGAACATCTTTATACCTTAACTTCACTCTCTCAAAAAAGAAATCAGTTTAGTTTATAATGCTGTTACATCTCTGCTCTCTTTGAAGCTTCATGTGCATATGTGTGTCTGTCTCTGTGTTTTCAGATGCTGTTAAATACCTGGAGTGTTCGGCCTTGACTCAGCGTGGCTTGAAAACGGTGTTTGATGAGGCCATCCGGGCTGTGCTCTGCCCTCAGCCTGCCAAGGTCAAGAAGAAGCCCTGTTCACTCCTGTAAAAGGTGAGACACAGATTAGAAGAAAAGGGGGTGCTAACAATATTTTTTTCTGCAGTTTAAAACATAGATAAGGGAAATAAAATGATTAAAGTTTAATAAGAGAAGAAGGTAGTAAGATAAACAGTCTTTTTGAGGAAGTAAAAATGGCTAAAATACTTACAGTAGAGGTGAACCTGCCTTGGAAATCAGTGTTTCCTTGTTCAGTCTGTCTCAGACTGGCTTAGGAGGTAACAGACTCCACTACTTTCATTACTGCTTCAAGTTTTAACTCTGAAGCACAACAATCACTTTACCAACACAAGGTTTGTAGTAGATCCAAGCCTTTGTGATCTGTATGGAGCAATCTTAACTCACAACACTGGTAGCATATTCAGCTAAACTTAAAAAACATGAATTGATTAAAGTCAATCTATTATATTGCTTCCACTTATCAAAGATCAGGTCACAGTAAATGTAAGGAAAGAAAATCCAGGCTCATGAGATGTTCCCAAACTAAAGGCTATCTGTTGCTCTGCAGTGAATTGTATGTCTTTCCTGGTGTCTTTAATGAGACTGATCGGAATATTGATCAGATTCCCAACTGACTCCTGATGTAGATAGGGCTCAACTCCTACTTCCTCTTGGTTGACTGAACTCATCACTCTGTCTCTGTGAGATGGCCTCAAACAGAATTTTATTAACACGTGTCTGGGATCTTCTTTCAAAAATCTAAATCTTGTGACCATATTTGATTAATTTAGAAGGAGAAAACTCAAATCTTTTTTTCCTTTTTTGCTTTGTACATGATTACACTTGCCTACACTTGATTTTTAAATGAATTTCCTGTATGAATAAGCTTTCTTATTAAGTGTCTTATTTAGGTTGTTTTTATTTGAACTCTTTCAGGACCAGAGAAGAGCAACGCCACATTCAGACTCTTGACTCTGCCTTAAGAGAAGATTTCAAAGTTTTTTTTGACCAGCGTTTCTTATAAATTTCCACTGTAATTGTAAAAAAAAAAAATACATTTACAGATACGATTGAATAGCCGCCAACATCTATCAGCAGCCTTCCTATACTGAACAAGATGCTGCAGTGGATTTAACTTCTCTGTACAAGATGGCTTTTTCTCTTAGCGATTGTCTCAGGTTTGCACGCTGTACTTTCACCCTATGAGCTGATGAGATAAATGTTCACTTTTTGGTGTCTCTTATTTGCTAAATATAAATAGCTGTCCAACATATCAGAGTAATAATTCTAGTTGCAAGTACACAGTGTTTCCATAAGATGTGTTCATCGTGTGTTGTTGAATAACGTAATATAATTGCATGGCAAAACATCTCAATCAGAAGTGTTGGAATAAGCCTTATGAACTGATATATTATTTGTTGTGTTTTCAAAATAAGAAAAATAAAAATAAAGTGAGGTTTTAAAAAACAAGATTTTCGATTTATTTTTGCATGAGAGCGAACTATGTGGCTTTTAATTTGTGAAATCTAAAAACACTCACTCAAGCAGCACCTGATACGCATCATGATGCATGTGACCACTGCAGAAATGGATGTGGCGCCTCTGATATAACGTTGATTTATCTGATGGCTTCCCTGCCATCTGTTATGAGCGTCATCCATCTTACTTTGAAGCTCTGAAGGGCAAGACGTTGTGGCAATAACATCAATCTGACTCATTTGCAGCGATTACCAGTGGAAACCTGATTAATGGTGAGAATGCAGTTCTAGCTATCTTGTTGGCAGGTGGAACAAACTGGCCATTATCTACCCGATTCTCAGATTGAAAATCTCAGTTTGTTACTTAATTACATTCATTATTTGTTATCCATATTAAGCTAAATATAGGTTCATTACGTGTTATTCAGTATTTTCAGTTTTAAGATGGATATAAGCAACATACTTAAAAATGATGTTGCTTGATCTATTATAATGCGATGTTCTTCAGCTAACTCCTAGAATCCAGTCGTTCCATGTCTGTCATGTATTTTGCAAATGATTAATCTATTTCAGATCAGAAGCAACACTTTATCTGAAGGCCTCCTGGTTGGCTTTGGTGTGGAAGTGTGTTTACACAGGAAAAAAAGCAACGTTTAGTTTTAGTTAGATATTTAAAGGAGCAATAAGCATAATTCATTGTTTTCGATGGAAAGAAATAAAGAATAGTGATGTGTATGACTAAAGGTATCTTTTTAGATAGAATATGGTGTGATGTCGCACACAATCTTCCTGTGTTTTCTCCAGTGTGATGTCTACAAGCTGGGCCAGCCATGCATGCATGTAAATTCATAAGACAGCTCCTACTTTAAGCTTAACTCCTCCCTGCCTATCAAATGCTACCAGAGCAGCGAAGCGTAGGAGCAAAGTGCCCTCAGTGGATCGAAATGCTCACCTGAAGAGGATAATTTGCCCAAATAAAGTTATCTTGCTAGAAAGAAAGTAAAGTGGGCAACACCTGCATTAAGGCGACAGATATTCAATAAATTCCTATGAATTAATAAAAAAACAAAAACAGGATAAACATGAGAGACTGTAATTATCGCTCACAGGCAATGTTAATTTACATGTTCAATAGATCTGCCCTTTCTGGAAATGCTAAGTCAGGTAGCTCTTTAGCATTGGCTTATAGTCACATCACTGACAGCCTCTGCATGTGATTTTGAAAAAAATCAGTGTTTGACATAGAATGGTCTTCTAAGATAGGATTGATATATCTGCTTGATGTTGAAGCAATTGCTCTGGGTGTATATTTTTCTATTAAAAATAATATTCTCAATAGAATGCAATATAAAAATGGATGCTGAATTGTTTACATTCAATGTCATCAGTATAAAATACTCCGTTCAAGTCAAAATCTTTTGGTTGTGAACTAAAGATGCTTCAGATTGCTTTTCATCAGCTCTTAGTATAAAACATCAGGCAGATGGTTACATGGTCCATGTGGATGACTATCAATGATCCTCTTATGTAGATTTACCTCTGATTCTGCTATGATAAACACAAATGAGTGAAATGCATCTCCTTTAAGTTTGACTTGTTGAGTGTTTTGGCCATGAATGAATCACTCTATATAATTGTGTTTTTCATATTTTCTTTTGCTTAGTGGACTTGTGTTGTTTTGTCTTTAATGTGTATTTCATATGATTATTTGTTTCGAAGCAGGTCATAACCCAAATTTTAAAGGAAAAAGGTTCAAACCATTTTAAGAAACAGAAATCTCAAAAGTGTAGTGTGTGTTTGTAGTCAGTGCGTATTTTACTGTGATCACTTTAAATTAAATTAGAGCATATTCACTTCAGATATAACTTAATTAGTAAATGGGGTTAATTTGTATTGGTGATAGGCTAATAGAAATAACATCAATTAAACTTGAAAGAAATGGCTTGCATGTTTACCAGATTTTTTAATTATTATCTGTGTAGCTGTCCTTTCTATTTAACCTTGTTTGCACTTACACCCATGAATAACAGCTACCACAATCAAGTATATTCAGAAGTTAGCTAAGCAATAAATGAAAACTACTTGTGTTTCATAAAACTGTTTTACATTCAGGTCAGAAATAAGCTGCTGAGAGTTAAATACAGGATTATTTCATAAGAACACAGTACCTCTTAATGTCTTTCAATATTTAGATCCATGGTTTATTTTGATATTCATACTATTTTTGTTCAGTGACATCACATTGTTTCACCCAGAGGATTACTGTATTTTCATTTCAATCTCTTAAACAGAAACGACGCAGTGCTCTGTACACTATGTGCTCCAAAAAGTACAACAACAAAAAAAACTCACCATGATGCCAATGGTGCATTATTCAAATGTTAAAAACAGCAGGTCTTTTCAAAAGATGTGTTATAAGAAAAAGCCTATCTCAAGCATTGAAAATTATTACAGCATACTGTTCAAGTAGGGAACATCAAAGGTTAACTTAAATACATAATACTGAAAAACTTCAGAGAACAATTACAGGTCAATTTACCATTGGAATGAATTCGGAAGGGATTTGCCTGCAATGTAATATTAAAAGGACTCAAGCTAAATGTGATTCCTACTTAACTTATGAGTCCAAAATCAATTAAGTAAGCAAATAACTGTGCATGGACATACCGGTACCTCTATTCACATAACTGTTACCCATAGTCCACACAGCTAGAACCATTGCAAAAAATATGTGCACAACCATCTTCACACTGAAAACAATTTTTAGGTCCAGACAGCAATTTAGATGTCATCTATATGTAGAGGGCGGCTCAGGAGTGCTTCAGGGCAAAGCAAAAGCGGTGGATGAGATTCTAGTGACCCAACTGGCATGTTTGTTTGATCCTGTAACCACTACGTGGCTGAAAAGACGTTTTTCACAAAGAGGAGGCCAACGCTGACTTGAGAAGGGAATGGGCAGTATATATCTATTTCCAGAGATGTTTTGCTCCATGAACTTCTTTTTCAGATTGGGAAAGCATGCACAAGCCTCTGGAAGGTAGAGGGGCACAGAGAGCTCTATGAAACAATCATTTGGACAATGAGGTGAAATTGAAAGTGCTCCTTACAGAAAAAATTCTTAAAATCGTGTTTTTTTGGCCGGCACCCTGGGGAGGTCAGAAGGAGATAGTGTTCTCACTGTAGGAGGAGGGAGAGGACCGATGGCAGACTGCAGGCAGGTGGAAGAGCAAGGAAACTCCGAGCTACAATTCTGAGCTCTGAATTTTTTTTGTGACAATTTTGCTCCTGCAGCCAAGAACAGGTGAGTATGGGGTGCTGAAAAGAAAATCTGAGTTTTCATGATAGTTTTCTAAATAATTTACTCCAGATGAAAAGTCTACAAGGTTATGGTCTAAAGAGGGCTCCAGTCCAAAGCATGACCCAGACCAGGTGAAGGAAGAGATTGTGGCACTTAGAACTAATTACTGTAGGTTCTGCTCAGAACCAGTTTCAAATAAAACTCACTCAGAAACAAGTTATTCACCAAAACAGATGAGTCGGAGACAAAACCAGGGAATTTGGCTCTAAATGTTACCCTGTAACCCAAACTGAACTGCAGGCTCCGGCTTTTGGGCAGTTCGGAAGGGTGGAAATGAAATGACTGGGCAGTAGAGGTTACAGTTAGTATCCATTCCATTCTGTCTCTCTTCAGGAGAGAGTATGTTGTTCCCAAATGGTATGGTTTCAGCATTTTTCTGTAGAAGCGAAGAGGAGTGTTTTGTTGGTTCAGGTGAAATGTGGAAGTCCTGCAAAAAAGCTGAATAATGTGTTTGTTGCAACCCATTTCTTTCAGTCAATCGGCTTTCTATATGAATGGATAATGAAATAAGGGTATCAAAAAAGCTAGGCTTGTTTCGTCTATTCAGCTCATTCTTTAGGTCTTCATTCAAGGAGTTCAGAAAAGCATTTTTGAGAGCAGCAGTGTTCCATCCAGACTCAGGCACCAAGGCGCGTAACTCAATGGTCAGAGATCAAAAACAAGTCAATCACCATGTTTTAGATCCCAAAGGCTCCTGGAGGATTCCTTCTGCTTGTTATAAAGGAGAAAGTTAAATCCAAAAATCTGTCAGAAGAGTGTTGATAAAAAGTATTTCCATTGATATAAGCTTCAGCCCATCTTAATGCTCCACCCTACAGCAAGAAATCTTGCTGAAATCATAAGGAAAGAAATTAGAGAAACTGAGAAAATCAAAAGTATACGGTAAAGGAGTAGGAATCACCTAGATTGGGGAATGGGAGATATTGGAATGTTGGTTATTCTGAGCCTGGGGAGGCGGTGCTATCTGCTGGATCTGCTAAAAGAGACTGTTAACAGCTTTGGCTACAGATGCTTGCAGACCTTCTGTAGAAGGGAATGTATTATGGCGCTGGGATGTAGTCATGTTTCCGGCTCAGAGTCCGCTGTGTGTTGGTTTGCTGCAGGGTATTTTAGGCCAGATCTTTCTGCCTTTGTTTTAAAAAGACCCTTAAGCATGCAACATCCAAGAAAAGACAAAGAATATATGCATACTACAGAATGTATTCAAAACATAAATGTATGTTTCGGCAACAAGAGATAGAAGCCATCTCAGATTTTTCACTGTTGGAAGGAGAACATTCTTAACATGCTTCAGGTAAATATGGTGAGGGAGATTGAACATTTGAGGAGCTTACTGCTCTGTGAAGAAGAAACGATTTGGGGAGGTAATTTCGTGACTGCGTTTGACAGGTTGCAGGGAGCGCTGATGTTAAAGGCAGAGATTATTCTTCTTCAGAGGGAAAATCCAGAGTATTGCAGAGGTTTGGAGGGTGGACAGGCAGGTGAGTGGCAGACGGGAGAGCTGAGTAATGAAACACCTAATCGAGAGAGCTTTGGAGGTATTCAGGTTCCCGTAGAGACATTTTATTCTAGGAATTGAAAATCCAAAAGTTTAAGATGCGCGAATTTTAAAAGAGATAATATGGGAACATGTTTTTTTTTTTTTATGAAAGAGGACAACAAGGACATTAGTAAAGCCCTGGGAAAAGTAGAACAAAACTAAAGATGAGAATCATTACCGCTTATGTGAGCAAATGATTTGGCATCCGTCCTCTTGCTGAGCCTCCCTTTTAAGAGCCCTCCTGATGAGCATAATGAGCTGCAGCTGCAAAGGTAACTTGCCAGTCACACCCTTGAAGGAAAGAGAAAGCAGCTGGATCGAAACAACCTGTGCACAGATCTGTGGACTTGAAGATTTGAAGAACAAAAATAAAATGTTCCTCTGTTTTGTCATTTGTCATATCTAATAGAAAAAATAGAAGATATTGTGATAATATGCTAAATACTAGAAACAGTTTAAGATTAAAGTGTAAAAATTATTTTATACTTTTCTTGTGTTCACTAAATATTACAAAAGATATTTCCATCTTGAAAGATTTTTTTTCCTGCATTGATGTATTATGTCTTAGTCATCATTTACCAGCTATCTACAGGAGTCAATGCTTTGTTTTAAAGCCTTGAAGGACAGAGGAGAACAAAACTATTTATTTTTACCTTTCATACCAATTTGTTGCTCTGTATTCTTCTCCTTACTGTAGGTCTAACAGTGCGATCACGACTTGTTTAGTTCTCTTTTAATAGAAAAAGATTTTGTCCCTGGGAGGTATCAGAATATTTATTTTTGTCAAACTTTATCTTTCCTCAGAGAAACATCTTTTTGTTTGCATTCCCTGGGATTTGGCAGCAAAAATACAAAAATATATGGTTACAGTGAAATAATTAGGGTGACAGCAAACATATCATAAATTTAACTGTTGTAAATTATAATAGAATGCATTAATGCAAATATGGGTATCATCCTTACAATTACTGCTCTGTAATGTACAGTAAGTTTAAATTCATCTAAAAAAAAAAGTTAAAAAAAACAATCCAATGGACTTTGTTTCTAAGTTTGAAGATGTTTTGCTTTCCATCCAGGAAGCTTTTTCAATTCAATTCAAAATTGCGTTAAGTTCGAGGCTTTATAGAGTGGACCAAAAACAAAGCCTAGTTTTGGCTTAGAAAACATGCAAATGAAACCCGACGAATGGTTTACAGAATACTATAAATTCAGCTGTGCTATGAAGGTTCTGGAAAATTTGACTATGTTGATCAAAGGGAATCACAAAGGCTAAGGAACAGCCCAGATAGTTTCAGGTTAAAATAAAGAGGAGTTTTTAAAAGGATTAGATTACAGATCAATATCCTGAACTTCAAACATATCACTGGTAAGAAACATGGTACCATAGCAAACCTACCAAGACACGCCTGCCACGCCATGCCAATGTCTAAAAAAAATCAGGTAAGGGGTCATTGCTAATAGAATGCCTGCATTCTATTTGTTTGATTTTTTGAAACAAACAATACCACAGCAAACCTGTAGAAAAATGTGCTCCAGTTGGCTGAGTCGGGGGGAAAAAAGACACATTGGACTATAACAGATAGCAATGCAAGGAAAAAGAACTTATCAGACTGATAGGTAGAGCTGGGAAACTGTTAAAGAATAGCGAGGGGCTGCAAAACACCAAAACTTGATGGAAAAGAATGTTAAACAAAGAGCCAAATAGAGCAAAGACTAGTCGATCTTAGATGTAATATGTGGAAAAACTAGAATATCGCTGTTTGTTCTACTCTAAGTTGAACTATTTTGTAACATGGATGAAAATTTCGGTTTACTTGATAGAAGAAAACCCAAAAAGCTTTAACTGCACAGCAGGGTAGTCAGCACTCATTATGAATCGTTTTGTATTTATAAAACAATTATAATTTTCCTTCACCTTCATATACAATAGCTTTGTTTTGGTTTATCTCATAATAATAAATTTGAAAGTAAATAAAAAAATAAATAAATAAATAAAAAAGTTTAACGAGTACTTTTCCAAAAAATTGCAAAAAGTGATAGGTGCCTGTATGAAGTTTTATCGTTAAGCCTTTTTTCAGCTGTTAGAAAGTGTCTTTCCGTGTTTTATGTTGCTTATTTATTTATTTAGTTATTTTTTGTAGCTTTAAGCAGTATAAAGAATAGAACAAAAAGAAAGAAGTTTATGTTGTGGGAAATAAAGTATATTTTACTAGTTCCAATCTGAATCGTGACTGTGGTTTGTGATTGCTGACATAACAGTCCCTAGTCAGGGCAATCTCTGCCTGCTGCTGTGAAGTGATCACTTCATTGGAAGGAGTAGAGGGGCTTCCTACGTGTATGGCATATGGCAAGTCGACAAGCAGTTTTAACATACATTCGGTTGTACCGCCTTTACATTCAAGATATCTCAACCCGAATTTATGTTAAATTGGCTTGCCATACCCCGCATCCCTCAGCGCGCGGACGACGCTCCCAGACGAACGCGATCATTTTTTAACCTCTCCTGTTTTATTTATTCACGGTCCAGCTCTCACTTCTCAAAGGAAAAACCACCTCATAGAGAAAGGTATGTTTGATTCTTTTACTATCGGTCTTTAACAACATTTTGTGCTTGGCTTTATTTTTATTTTAGCTGTGACACAATATATTTTTGTTTAGATACATCAGTGATTTATTGGCACCAGTTAATTCTTGACTTCAGTTTATGAATGTGTTCTTTTCGTTATAGAATTGAAATTATGTCTTAAAATGTTTATTGCATCTCATTTTGCTTGTTGGTTTTTCCTAAGACTTTTTTTCTACTCTTTTCCTTTATCCACAAATGTAATTTTTTTGTTTTTATTATTATTTTCTAAGTTCTGCGGATTATTTTATTTATTCTTATTTTTATTTTTTTATAAAATCTAAGAATAATACAATCTTTCTTTAATCTGGGTGTAAGCAGTTAATCATCCTGTTGCATGGCAGCAACTCATTTCATAGCTAATTGGTTTCTTGCTGCTTAGAAGAATCACTGAATTTCAAACTAAGGATTCTTATAAAGAAAATAGGATATAAATGTTGATTGTTGATGAGTGAGTCAAATTGGATGGTCTGAGTATTTTAGAAACTGCTCATCCATTCGATTTTCACTTGTAGAAATCTTACATTTATAGAGAATGGTTGAAAATATCCAATGAGCAGCAGCTGTGTGAAATAAAATGCCTAAGACAGCCCTTTAGAAAAAAAAAAAAACATTAGGAAAAGGTCTTGTCCAATGAGTTTTGCTTTTGTCTGGAACATTCAGTTCTTGAATAAAAAAAGCAAAGCTTTTTACCATCACAGATTAACATTCAAGGCTGACAGAAGTAATGGTTCGGGGCATATGGTTTGTGCACACATTGAGCCAGGTGTTGAAATATCACAGCTTACCTGATTATTGTTGCTGACCACCTCCATCCCATAACAAACAGAATTTATCTGTCCTCTGATGCTACTTTTAGCAGGATAACAGACATGTCACAAAGATCAAACCTACGAGTTCATTGTATTCCAATACTGTCTAAAGTCACCAGATGTCAATAAAATAGAGCACCTTTGGGACGTGCTGCAACAGGAAGCAGCTGAGAAATCTGTAGCATGTGAGTGATGCTCTGATCACCAAAAGGACAACAACTTTAAAGTGGGCTTTCTAATGTCTTGCTGAATTTATAACAGATCTAATTGCGAAGGGGATCAAGCAGCCATCGATAATATATCACAGGGTAATCACCCAGAACTTAATGAATCACACATGTTTAATGTATGATATAAAGTATATTGTACAACTAACCCTTCTAAGCAATTTCCATTTCTCTAATAATGGAATTCTCGTATGCAAACAATAATGCTAAACCATGCACAGTCTTTCATAATCCAAGGATTACACATCTCTATTCAGTGCATAATCTGCATCTCATGTTATGGCCTTAAACTGCTTTCAATCTAAGATTATAAAGCCCGCCAAAAAAAGTCAAATTGATGGACATTGTGTGGAGTAAATCTAGAGCAGCGGGTTGGATTGATTAAATTCAAAACAGACAAGTGGGAACAGAGTGTCAAAGGAAAGTGAGAGAAGATGGGTCTGTTAGATTTAAAAAGGGAGTTCACATGAAATGAATAAAGAAGCTTATCTAGAAAAAGATTTTCTTTGTTTATGCAGACTTAGATACTTTTTTTAACAGGTTAGAAACACAGATATTGAAACAACACCAATTTAGCTCCACTTTCCAAGTAATTTGCAGAAGATGCAGTCAGAGGCTCATACATTTCTCATACCAAATTGTCTTTTCTTGCCAACTTCTCATGCACTCCAATGATGAGACCAATGATGGAAAATCTGGATACAAGAGAACATATAGGCCAGGTTCAAAAATAAAATGCAGAGAGCTAAATAAATGGGTTAGGAGCAAAAGGTAAGAGGAGATCGCAATGCATAACAAAATAACAACAAAAAAAGCGTTTTTAGAAAAATAATTCTGGTGTGTTTTTTTCTAATTCTTATTGCTTTGAGTTTAAACTGTTACTGAAGCTGAAATGTAACAGAAAACAAATAAATCTCTTGTGACCTTTTTTTTTTTTTCCCTCAGCCTCTTTGACTATCACCAGGCGGGGCTGTGGGGCGATAGAGAAGCTTTTTATTTAATTGCTCAACATCCACTTAGTAGCTTCTAAAGCTTTTTACTCATTTTTTTCATCAAGCCAATTTGGCACATATTTGTATAGATGCATGTGTGCAGAACATTGTGTGGGCAGACCACAAAAATGTTGCTATTGTAGAATTGAACAGCCCGTTTTTTTATTTTCTCTCATGTTAAAATGTGATTATATAGTTTTACTGTTTCCAAACCCTTTTTTCTAAAGAACAGACCACCTTTCAGTGAAAGTGTTCCACGTCAAGATCAGCATGAAGATCTAGCAGGAATATTGATCAGATTGTGGCAGATCCATAAGCTCCTGTCAGTCTTTGTAATGAAAAATGTGAAGGCAGCTATGTGGCTGTAATGAAGCAGGACCCAACGCTGTCAATCTGGTAAACGAACAGCAGCGAATGTGGTCAACTCTTTTGAGGAATAAAATTGATAAGGATCAACTCATACACAACTTAGCTGATGTTGTATCGCTCTTATTACTGTACATCTGCTGTTTTCTGCTATCTGTTCGTACTTGCTTGTCTTCTGATCTCACAACTATGATAACAGTTCATGTGAATATTTAACCCACTGACATAGAGATTAATTAGATGTGCAGTAACAGTGTAATTATTATCTGTAACGTTAGTTATATTTGAAGAAACAACTCCTGCAATTGGCAGTAAAAGTCACTTTAATGTTTGAGAAAATGTGCATACTTTGCTTTGATTAAAGTACCGTAACTCGGTTTATTTGAGAAGATCTTCCTTAGGTGGGGTAAGTAGAAGTTATATTTACATGACTAAGCATTTTGTGATGCTGAGGAATAGAATCATGTTATAAGCCCAAATTGTAGTGTAGTGTATTAGATGCTCAAGACAGTACTGTGGGGAAAAGTTCAACGAGAAGATAAAAAGCTAAAAACAAGGTGACCCGTGGATGAAATATGTTAAACACTTCAGACTGAGATGAAGGTACATCCACCAGAAGGAGAGCAACCCTACATTTATAGCCATAGCTAGATCTGAGCATTTTCATCTTTGAAGAGCACGGCCAATGTCTAGAGCACAATCCATTTTCAAATCTGCTAGAAAATGTGCTGGATTTTCAGTTCCAATATGTGCAAAGCTGCTGGAGCGTAAGAGCATCCTCTAAAAGTCTGGTTGGTCTAATTACAGTAAAAGCTGGTTGCATCAACTGTGCTGTACACTGTATGCAAAAAACAGAAACAAATGGAATACTTCCCTTCAGTTTCACCACTGCAAATGTGAAGTATCTTTGGGTTTGTAGGCATAACATAAAAAACTGTGTAACTTTCAGTACATTTGAAACAGGCTTTATTGCAGGTCTGCATTTTGGCAGCCAAGTGTATCCCAGTTTTCAATCAGATTAACTATGTTTGTAGAAGTTTTAGTTTTTGAATGTCCACACTGACAATGGTCCGAGATGTTTCTGTACAGAAGTTCACAAATGGTGACCTAAAATATGACCTAAATATACTGTTTAGGTCATTTTTAAATGCACAGTAAAAACCAAAAACTGGGGCGTAATTATTATATAGACATTTTAATTTTGGAGCTAGTAAAATTAACATTATTAATTACATTTAAGGACTCTTTGAGCAACTGAATAAAGGTATAATTTAAAGCAATGTTTCTGCAGTGTCAGTACATTCAATCCATGTAATATGTTGCTTCTTCTCTCCTCTGCGATCCTATCACAGAGGAATGAAGAATTAGATCTTTTATCTTGAAATCAAGAGCTCTAGCTCTATAAATGCTGAAGAATTACAGAAATGGAAATGACCTAAAATGCTCCTACTGAACATTGATACCATTTTAACTTGTTTGTGCACTGCATGCATAAAGATAATCCTCAAATAAAATACCTATCAGAAACTCAGAAGGTTGTAAATAACGAACTATTTTTAAAATATTTCACAGCAATCTTTGCTTTCTCAGTTTCCATGGTTTTGTTTTTCTTTTCTTCTTTTTTTTTAAGTTTATTTTAATCCATAAACTTTTATGTCCAATTTTAATAGATTACCTACTGTGCTCAACTGAAAAAGGGCTCTTTGTGAGCTGTAGTGCTGACTGAGAGAAGTTCACAGTTCAGACCTTTCCCACAACAAGTCACTGTCAAAACGACTCTGCTATAGTTAAAAAAATATATAAATGCTATTATTTAGAATATTAATTGAAATACTTCCTTTGGGCTTGGATAGACAGTAAGATTAAAAAAAAGAAAAAAATGTGGTGATATAGGGATCAAATCTTTCTCAGAAATTAACTGTTGAGAGCTGTTTTTCAGGTCTCCTATAGCAGCAACTCTCTCTATTCAAACAAGGGATAGGTAATTACATTAAGTGGCTGTCAGGAAGCCTTTTTAGAAAGTCAATTTGGCATCAGTTAATTTATAAAAAGAAAACCAAAACCTCCTGCACCTTTATCATACACTAAAAAAAGTCATAGCAGCAGTAAAATAATTTTATTATCCTTTATTCCTGTTTCAAAAGGTGCCATGTGTGTATAGTGCCTTACAAATATGTTCATACCCCTGAAACTTACTCCTGACTTTATAAAGGGAATATTTATTTGTGAAGTCAGCAAAACTCATTTTTCTCAAACATGCATACATACTGTATATATTCAGACCCTTGAACAAATATTTTAATGAATCTCTGCAAAATAGCTTCAACCCAGTCAGATTAAAGATGATCATATTAAAAAAAAAACAACTATTAGGTGAATTAAGATCTGGACTATGACTTAGGCATTTTAAAACATGAGTTTTATCCACAAAAAATCCCCAGAAACATCACTAACTAACACTTAAACCTTAAAAGGTTCTCCTTCTCTTCTCCTCAGGTACTGTTAGCCTTTTAACTTGAGTGAACATCTCTAACTAGACTCTTCTT